TTAGAAAAACATCCCCACCCACACCACACAACCCCCCCTGGCACCCAAAAAACCCAACTCTGGGGGGGCATCATCCGCGTACCAGCACAAAACCCCCCCCTGCGTGCCTCACCGCCTCTCTCACCACAACCACCTTTCTGCTTGCCACAGCCCCCCTTCCCCGAACACACCCTGCTGCTCATCGCCGGGCATTCATCCCTACACACACTCTCCTGCTCACCACCACCCCCTCCCCCCCACACACGACCTCCTGCTCACCACCACCCCCCTCCCCCCCACACACACACCCTCACACACAGAGGGGGCCTGATATTCTCAGCCAATGTGCATACACATCAGAAAATGTTATGTTACCACTCAAAGACAGAGTCAGTCTGTGCAGGGTACACGCTGGGGGTTTTATGATTAAATAACAAGAGTGAATGTCCTTTTACTCCTTCTTATAGATTATCCAGAAAAAATAAAGGCACAGAATAATGGTCCGAGGTCATCATTCGTAAGACATATTTTTTAAGCCAATAATCTCCTAAATGAACTAATTTAAAAATGGGGCATCTTTAATCAGATAAGTATATCCACCAAGAAAAATGGCAGAAGTGGCCTTTTCAGCGATTTATGTATTTAATGTTTGGAAATTTGTTTCAAAATACAATAAGTTTTTCATTTATTTTACTTGCAGAGTCTTTTTCCTTAAAAAAAAAAAAAATCCAGCTTTTGCAGTGCTAAAGTCCCAGGTGAGCTAGGCCTATTTCCCTTTCTGTTACTATGACAACGAAATTTTACCGCAGTCCCAAAGTCCCTTCAGAACTCTCACATCCATGCCTTGAATTAGAACTTTAAAGGAAAAGATATACATTTCCCCCAGAATTTACCAGCAAAAATAAGAAGAAATCAACCGTGCTCCCAAAAATTCTATTTTAAAGCAACGGTCGGTGAGATGCTCGCATGCTGACCTCGTGTTTATTGTTAATTCTTTACAAATCACACAGAAGAACTAGAGAGCACTCCAATGGATGGTATTTCACACTTCAAAAAAAAAGGAAACCTGATGGAAAGATAAACAGTAAATGATAAAGGAGGAGAGGAGGGGAATTGCACTTTTCTGAGCGTTTTATTTATTTTTTTTCTGTGAATCTCTTTTTCTCTAGACTTCCTAAAAATAAGTGGTCAAGTGTTCCTGCCCCCTATCTAATGAATAGGGTTGGGTGTGAATTTAGAAATAACAGTTAAATACTTTTTCATTATCTTATAACATCTGCTTTTCACATCTCCCCTGTAATCTTTATTTTTTTATTTTTTTTACTTTGAGGAGTATAACCATCTTTTTTTTTAATCTTTTCTGGGCGGGAGGTGCCCACCCAGGCGCCTGCGGATGACAAGGCAGAGGAAAGGCTCCCAAGGCTTCGCGCAGCGGCCTGCAAACTCGCAACCTGCCCGCGCTCCCAAAGCGCGCCCAGTGTCTGCCCGCAGCCCTCGGAGCACTTTACAACGAGAGCCGCTTTTATTTGAGAAAAGATGGACTCGGAGTCAAACATTCCGCTTGTGACGGGGAAACAGTCTTCCATTCGTGCGTCTGCCGAGTCCTCTGCGGCTCCGCCGGCGCTGAGACGCTCTCCGCAGACTCGGAACTTGCCTTTTCCCTGGGAAGTCTCTCTCCAGACAACAGTCCCCACCCCGCTCCACATCGCCCTCCAAGGCCGCATCAGCGATTCACTTCTCGCCTCCGATATCACCTCCACCCCATCCCCCACCCCACCCCCCAAAAAACAAAAAGCCCACTAGAATCAAATCCAGTGCTTCCTCTCACCAACTCCTTGATTTGGGGAAAGTTTTCCCACAATTGGGCTCCTTATAATGCTTTCTGTGTGTGTTATACTTCCCCTTACCTACCCCACCCTTCCTCCGAAACGTATCTGGTGAACACATTAATGTTCATGAAGGCGTTATTATAGCCATGGTGTGGTGGGTGGAAAAGTGCAAAGGAGATAAATGTTTACATAAAATCAAATTGGTTTAGGGAAACGAGGGGCCTGCTGAAAGGCTTTATTCATTTTTAAATGAGGACCCTTAACAGTCCTTAGGACGGAAAACACCCAGCTTTGACTCATTTTGCTGGTTTCAACCTACACAGCCCCCTGCACACTATAGATATAACATTCTGTTCACAAAGGCTAAGAGAGTGGTGGGGGAGGGGGGTGGGGGGCGGAGGAAGAATCCTCTTATATTGTATAGTACTTCGTAAAAGAGGCTGTTATTTCTATTTCTAAGTGGCCAGCACCAGGAATTATGGCCTGGATAGTTTACATGTGGACCTAGAAATTAATTTAAAGGAATTCTGGGGCTTACTGACATCTCCAATTTTTTCTCTTCTTTTTACTGATGTCTTCCACCTGCCTCCTTGTACCCCGCCACCCATCATGCTCAGGGGCTTGGTACAGAGCCCTTTCCTGACCAAACCAGCCATTAACCACAGGGTAACGTTCAGGGAACAAATCCCCTGGGTCCAGATCCCTCCGCAGGCAGAGCTGCCTGCAAAATGTCAGCTCTCTCTACTTAGAAATGGGAAACCAGAATGAATTTCAAGATTCAGACCAAACGTGTAGGTTCTCATCGGGATGGAAGTTATTTTCACTTTCTCCAAAAAATGTTGACTATGTAAATGTGATCACCACTTCGCAGGGCCTCTAATCTCCTTCCTTAAGAGGATGCACTAACTACAGGTTTATCCTCCTTTTATAGATAAAGAGGAACAGAGAGGTGGGGTCAGACATGGAAGCATGCAACAGAATGATGAATCTCAGAGGGAAGGGGGGGGGTGAGAAAAGATTAACCAAAGAACTTATATGCATATATGCATAACCCATGAACACAGACAATAGTGCAGTGAAGGCCTGGGGAGGGGGTGGCAGCAGGGTGGAGGGGAGTCAATTCGGGGGGGGGGGGAACATCTGTAATACTTTCAACAATAAAGATACATTTACAATTATGAACTCAAGTAAACTTTAACTGAAAAATAATTTTTTTAAAAAAAAAATATTCCCTCCTCTCCCCAAAAGTGAACTCAAACCCTCAGATTTCAATCAAGTTCCTAGGTCAACCAAAGGGCATTCCTTCACTCTATAAATATTTATTAAATGCTGACAGTGAGCTAGTCTTGATCTGCTACCAACTAACTTTGTAACCAAGTTACCTCGCTTCTCTGGGCCTTGGTTTCTTCAAGTGTTAAGAGGGTTTAACCGGATTATCCCTGGGGTCCTTCCAGCATTACTATTCTGTGCTTGCTAAGAAAAACACAGAGAGCTGAAAACCCACCAGAAATGGCTACATTGGGGGCAGAAACCACTGAAGGCAAAAAGATCATCACTTATTGAAGCCCAGCTGGAGGTGGGAACAGGGCTTTTCTGAGATACATCAAGCCCACTGCTCTGAGAGTGAAAGAAAGAGGCAGGAATGGCTGATTGGTAGAAAATGGAGCATCTTGGCTGATGCCTTGACCGGTATCATGAGGTTGATGGGCAGGTTGTTGAGCGAGATGCACCTTCCCTTAGCATCCTTTCTCTATGCTTCCAAGGCAGGAGAAGGTGGCTCAGGAATGTCATAGACCACAGCCATCTCTGTCCCTGCTCACCATGCTTTGTGGTCCATCAGCTGAAGGGTACAGGGTCACAGAGGACAGAGGAAGAAGGCTAGCCAAATGCCTATTCTGTGCCATGCTTCCAGCTATGTTCTTGATATTCATTGCCTCATTTATTTTTCACAACTTTATGAGTGGCAAATCTTCTCACAGCTAGGAAAACAAAGGCGCCAAGAATTTATAAATTTGCCCAAGACCACACAGCTGGTAAGTGACGAAACAAGAATTTAAACCTTGGCCTTTCTGGCAACAAGTTCCATCTGGCGTCCTATGTTTCCTGCACCAATTAGGTTGCGGTGTTGGTTGCAAGGCTCTGTGAATATACTAGAAACCATTGAACTGTACACTTGGAATAGGTGAAGTGTATAGTATGTAAATAATATATCAATATGGCTGTTTAAACAAAACTTCAGAGCCCCGGCCGGTGTGGTTCAGTTTGATGAAGTCATCCTGTACACTGAAAGGTTTCGGGTTTGATTCCCGGTGGAGTGTGTATGGGAGGCAACTGATCAATGTCTCTCTCTCTCTCTCTCTCTCTCTCTCTCTCTCTCCCTCCCTTCCTCTCTCTAAAATCAATGAACATATTGTCAGGTGAGAATTTAAAAAAACTTCAGAAAATATGCTCTACAAAAGCAAAGACAGCAACAATAACAACAAAACTATAAAGGATTCAGGTTTCTCTAAAATTGAGAGGATGATAGCACACCAAAAGGAAAACATTAGGTCAAAGATAGTGGCATGGAAGTAAATGCTACTTTTGAAAACCCCTGGTGAGTTCATTTATTTACTGACTTGATAGTTATTAAGTATGCAATATTTGCCACCAAT